CATCCTCTATTCTTATATTCAGACCCACAAGAGTGTGTCTTCACTCCTATTGATACAACCTCATTTGATGTGGAAAAGGGACTTCTGAAGGAATGGATTGACATTAAAGCTCCTACAAGTTTATCTAGCTACCCTTCATCCTACCTCATGGTGATCGCAGGTCCATACACAGTTCACCTGTGAACTCTTGTAGTTTATAGTGTACAAATACACAATACTTTGTGAAAGGCACACACCTGTAGCTACGAGTTGCTAGGTTAGTAGTCTTGCACACCTTGAGACCCTTTGGAGCTAGTGTAGATTGTATCCATGGACCCAAGGTGTGTAGGACTACTAACCTGGCAACTCATAGCTACAAGTGCATGTCTTTCACCAAGTACTGTGTACTTGTACACTACGAACTATAAGAGCTCACGGGTGAATTGTGTATGGACCTGCAACTACCGTGAGGTAGGATGAAGGGTAGCTGGATAAACTTGCAGGAGCTTTAATGTCAATATGTTCCATCAGAAGTCATTTTTCCACATCAAATGAGGTTGTATCAACAGGTGTAACATGATCCTTTGGGTCTAAATACAAGAATGGAAGATGCAATGTTTAAAATAACCTCAAAAGAAAGAAATCATAGGGAATTAGATAAGCATGAAAGGATGCAGAAAGTGAGTATACCTTTGGAAATTTGGAATCATAAGTGACGTGAGGAGTAGATCCATGTGAATACACATGTAGAGGTTCCACTATCAACGAGAACTCAGATCATTGCCCCATGGTTAAACTGATCATGGAGGTACTGGACTATGACAATTGATGAGGAACGATCACCAATTAGTTTAATGCGCTAATTCAACGATCTTGTACAGTGTCGATGCCCATCACAAAGGAAAACGATGGCTACGAACATCACTTCTGCAACTTACTCTCGAAGGGTGAGGCATATTCGCAAGGCATGTCAGAGCGGGATGTCTTCACATGGAGTCCTAGAGAGTGCCCATTATACAACTACACATGGCAAGGGGTGGGGCATGCCGAAGCAAGGATGAGCATCTTCATTAACAGAGGTGCCACACACCAATGGGGGCCTGGGACCCAAATTTATTCCCCTCCACCTCCAGTTAAAGGATATAGGTTGTCAAACTAATGAATGTGGTTGTTTTCTTCATGCAGGTGATCCATGGACGATAACCATGTTGCGACGGTAATATTCTCACAACACAAACTGCTCAGCATGATTCTTTGTTTTGCTCTGTCAGACCAATCCCTAAGTCTGAACCGCCCCACTTTGCCTCGTAGTCTTAGGTTACAATGCAATAATTCCGTATTAGGATCTTCAGTGAAGAGTCAACACCAAAGTCTTTGGAGGAACATAAAAAGGATTGATCAATTAGAACCACACCACGCTAGTAAAACAACCCTATCAATGGCACAATTGTGGCACACTAGTTTTAAAAAATGATGACAATGAAATGTTCAACAAACAGACAAGTCATTGCCTTAAATAATGGTTCACACACAACACTTACACCCTAACATGCCACAATACAAAATCGAGCATAACGTCACTTTATCCAATATAAGACAGGTAGGAGTACGACAAGAACCGAATCTATATTGAATCAGACCGATCTATAGCTACAATTAAAACATGTATGATAGGAGAACAAAAAGCAACAAAAAAATAACAAGCCATCAAATTGTAGATAACCCTTCTACAACCAACTCCTATGCTGATTTCATAAAGTCGATTTGCCTCTGAGAATCATTTACTGCACACTGCAACTCTCGAATGCGATCCAAAATGTCATGCTACTACCTGGGGATGTAACCTCCTCCAAGTATTCACAAAGAACTGCCCATTCAAAGAATTTGCATCCTATATGGCTATTAGACATGTTGGTAGTTACCTTGTTTTCACTGACCGTGTTTTCCTGCAAGTATGTGAATATATGTTAATTGCAACAAAGCTGAGTAATGGGATTTTTCAAAACAATGCCGATGCATTTACTTCAAATTTCCCCCGGCAACTATAAAATAGCTTCTACGAGTTATTGGGCATCATAGATATACGAATGATACACTTCCTCTTGCAGTAGCAATATTTTGTTCCATACCTCAAATTATAAGGGGAAGGATTCCCTCCGATCCTTTGACTGCCTATATCTACTGTTGTTCAATGAAATATCCATATTAGAACAGACTACTCCATTAAACAACGATAACGGAGCAAAATCGTATATGAAGACTATCTACTATGTGGCACTATCATTTATATAACATAACAATGTCTAAACATTATAGTAAATGAGATGTCTCTATAATGTACCCATGCCCTAGACATCTGCCATCCATTAACGAAGCACCATAACCCCCCTTAAAATTGCAAATGCTATGTGGAACAACAATGCCAAATTAATTTAAAAAAATTATTTGAAATGTAACCAATACTACCGAAGCCTAATGGCACAAGCCTGCAACTGCCAATAGGGAAAATCTGCTAAGCCGAGATGAGGTCAAAAGCATTGAAGACAACCATTAAACATTGGGAGGATGAAGTGGGTGAGAATGCAACACAAATTTTGCATTGTAGATAAGCACGACTGTTGCAACAAAATAGTGGCCGATACCTTTTTCCATGTTCAGTCTTCACAATCGCTCTTCTTCGAAAAACACCCGACTAGCATGATGCTAACGATCACAATCACTCTTCATGGTCGCTGGCGGTCATTTTCCATTCACTTTGTCGAAGAACAAAACTATCATCGAAATGAGATGGGAGGAGCAGAGTGGAGGGGAACGACGATCGTTTTCCGTTCACTCCGTCGAAAAACAAAACAATCGTCGAAATGAGGTGGGAGGAGCGGAGAGGAGGGGAACGATTGCCAAAGATTTATTATCAAGAGAGAGAGCACGGAGAGAAGGGGGAGGAATGAATGGTCACCAGAGATTTATTTTCGAGAGAAAGCGCGAAGAGAAGGGGGATGGCCCAACGGTCACCATGTTCAATTTTCTAAGGACTAAAGACTTGATAATACAAATGAGCATTTTCGTCCATATGTCTAAGTGGTCTATACCAGGGGTGGAGTTGGAAATAAATACACATTTATAAACTGGTATTTTGGTGAATGTACAAGGCCCAATGTGAAAATGATTTCTTCGTTGGAGACATCGGCAAAATCCCCTTAGAAATATTTGATTGGTAGTCATTCCAGCATTTTTTGACTATTTCAATACACTTTGCTCTCCACCTTTTTAGGGAAATTGTCTAAAACCCACCATCAATTTTTATGAATTCTCTTAAACTCTCCATAACTTTTCAAAACGTCCAAAACTCACCATGTCAGTGAAATTTTATTTTCTAAAACTCACTATCCGTTAGAACACCGTTAAAGTTCATTGACCCAAGTTGTTCACGTCAACCTAAATGCAAGTTTCATGACCAAACTTCCCTTGAATGGTGAGTCAGCTTGTTAAATAATATTTTTATTGAAATTTCCTTAAGTGCCCAATCCTATTTCATGTATAATATTCCTACTGACTAAGAGCCTTTCTTGTTCTCAATGTCCTAGAGTGTTCTTGCTCTCAACATCAAAGGAAGGGTCTTGTTGCTCTCAATGTCCCAGGAGAAAAGCAGGAAGACCACTTCGACCACGACTGGTTGTACTTCATCATAGAAACCCCTCTCCCTCTATCCCCCTCCCTCTATCAATGATTTCCATCTGTTTTTGTAGGGATTTCCTCTCCCGAGCTCCGACCGCTATCGATAGACTGAGAGAGAAATGAGACTTTTGATACACAACATGCTCTCTTGCAACATCAAAGGTGTCACGAACGATTTCCCTCTATGTCTTGAGGTTGAGAAATTTGTGGAGAAAGAAGTCGATTTTAGTGCAGAGTACTCAAGAACATACTCCCCAAGATCGAATGGAAGGCTCTTGTCGATGCCACTTGATCCATGGGCTACTCTCAACTTCCCGATGCGGTCAATTCATCCATGCTCAACTCCGGCGACTTCTTGAAGAAGTTCCACCATGCCCTATCCGAGCTTCACCTTGAAGAAGGTGTTCTAATATGCCCAGAGACAAATTGGCGCTTCCCGATCAACAAGGGAATCCCCAACAGTCTACACTAATGGCAAATGGCCAGTGTATTTTACTTTTTCATATTGTCAGGCTCTGGCAAAGGAAAAGGAACATACCCTGAACGAATTCCACCTACACACCATACCGTCCTCCTTGGTGACCTGTGCTAAAAGAATGCCCCAATAGCTCACGAAACCCTTCTTGTCTTGACCATCACCGTTTAATGAGTCGTTCAGGAATTCTTTCTCCTAAACTTCAGTATTGCCCAAGGCCATTGTGCTTCCGTTTTGCACACTCAACACCGGCAATGTACCCGCGTGGTGGAAGGTAGCAGTTCTGATCAAGAGGATTCCTCTCATCGGCTCATTGATCATAGCACTTGTGGTGGCCGAAGAGAAGAGATGAGGACCCAACTGCTTTAGAAATGGACCCACCAACTTGGAACTCTTCATCACTATCATCATTGAAGGGAGAAAAGAGTTTAATCAGCAAGAAGCAAATTAAATCAATTTCTTTTTAGGGGGTGTTCTTTTTGGAATTTTGAGAGGGGGAAGTTGGTCAATAGGATTTTGGTTCACATTGACCAAAAACCCCATGTTCTTTTTTCAGATTTATATGGGGAATAGGGAAAGTTTATTTTCCTAAGTATCACTTACCTAGTGATACCCATCTCTTAGGTGGATAAATAATATTTCCACATGGGGGAAAGTTGCCAACACTTGAACGAGACAAGAATGGCCTTTTTAATAATGCATTTTTATAGCTAAAATGCTCATCACCTTATTTAGCTGAAAAATAAAAGAACATGGGTATGCATTTACCTAGTACCCAGGTAATTAGGTAATTGCATTTACCCGGATAAATAATTTATCAAAAAGTTAATGGGGCCTCGAGGAAAAGACGACGACTGTATATGGTTCTCCACGAGGACGACGGGTTGTATTTATAGGCAACAGGGGCAGTGCAAGACAGCCTCGCGTGTTAAGGGTTGTGGAAAAGAGTTCTGATCGATGACATAGCAGCCATGAGTGTTCTTGACACAAGAAGGATTCCAACATTAAATGTAATCAAGACAGCCTCACTGATATGGTGAGTTTTGAACGTTTTGAAAAGTTACAGTGAATTTAAGAGAATTCATGTGGGTTTTAGACAATTTCCCACCTTTTTAAGTTAAATGGATTGGCATGATATGATTAGGCCAATAGAGGATTCGGAGTCTCCGACTGAAGGTCAACAACAAAGGTTGTTCGAGTTCCATACGTTTGCGTTGGTTCGCACAATCATGTCTCCAGCAAGAGCACATCTGCTGTTGGAGTGCTGCGACCAGGGTTGCTGCTGATGGGAACTCGTCTCAAGTATGGAGTTGGTATGGACACGAGCTACACAAGGAGACCCTGTACACAGTAGTATCTCAATCATAGATAGCCAAATGTTTTCCCTTCGTCTATCATGCTTACCCATGGACTCCTGTTGAGTCTCTCTCTCGTCGGACGCCGCCGTCCCGCCACAATGTCCGTCTTTCACAAAACCAAAATTAATTTAAGGAGATTGTACACTGTGTCTGCATGTGTCTTTTGAATTTCTTTATTATTTTTCTTTATCTTCATTCTTCACAAAATCAATAGCTCAAGATCCCGATCCTAACGTGATGTCATTATAGGACTGCCTGATTAGGCCCCATTTCTAGTTAATCAGAAGGTAAGGTACCCTTGTTGTTGAGCATTTCTCGGCATTTCCCTGCAAGAGCAAGCTTCATTCTGAGCTTGGTTCTTCTTTTGTCATTAATTGGAGGTGCCCTTAAGTTTATTTTCTACTACTTTATCTTATTGGTACTAGCATCCAAAAATTCCACCTCAATTTCTCTAGGTTGGAAACTTAGATAATTCGTGTTCTGCACCCTTATTTCAGGGGAATCCTATACTGAAATCCCATTTGGTCACTTACCTTTGGGGGTTATTAGTTTGAAGCTTCAGCCATGGGTACTGCTCTTCTTGTCTTACGCTTCATTTTGATGTGGGTCCTCTTCTCTGACTGTGTTTACTGCCGAAGACCTGCACTCGTGAACGTTGGTGTGCTTTTCGGTCATGATTCGGTTATCGGTAGAACTGCCAAGGTAGCCATGGAAGCTGCGGTGGCCGATATTAACGCGGATCCGAGAATTCTTAATGGAACCCGACTGAACTTAATCATGAAGGACACAAGTTGCAATGTTTTCTTGGGTTCTGTTGAAGGTAGCTTCCAGTCCTCTTATCGTGTTTGTTTGTGGCTTGGTACAACTCCCTGTTGATCTCTCTTTTGAATTAGTGTTTTCGTTTCTCTGATTTGACCCTTTTTTGGTAATTTAATTGCCATAGACAATAAAAAAGCTTAAGCAGCTGTCTGTGCTGAGATTTTGCATGCCTGATGAGGCAGTTTCGCAAAGGATCTCTTTTCTTCTTTGCAGAGCCTGTTTTCTAGTAATTATCTTGGCAATGAATCAGTATCGCTGCTGTAAGATCATTTAAGTTTTGATTCGGATTACTACTGGTTTACTAGTTTAGAAACCTTAATATCAAATTCATCCCTGAGTTCTGGTAAAATGTTCATATTTGATAAGGCAGCAGAAGATAGGAGATCCCGTTAGAAGTACTAGGCAGAATAAGTTTATGATAGGAACCATCTTCCATTAATGTAAGAGGGAAGTTGAAAAGAGAAAGAAAAAGAAGGGAGAAACTGAGGTAACCAAACACAATGTGACGGTGTCATAGAAATATAAAATCTTGATAAATTTAATATAACCAAATACAGAGTATTTGATTGGTTACTCTTGTTTGCTTGATTTATGATTCTATAATTAGTTTAATATATATTTTTTTAGCACAATCATTTCATTACATATATAAAGTAAAATGCATTAAAAATAATTTTGAAATTAAAGTTCGTATCAGGTCCTCAACTGAGAGCCATTTACTGAATCACAGGGTTCTGTTTTATTTTTTATTTCTTGTTGTAAAATGCTTTTTCTAGAGGTTACTTAAATGAACGAGCTAGTGTTTATGAGGAGGGCTCTTGTCCCTTCTGTAAGTAGGGGTGTCAATTGGACTGGACTTGGTCCAATCCGATCCAGTCCAATGTGAATCCATTATAAATGGACCAGGTCCAATCCAGTCCAATGAATATTTTGGACCAGTCCAATTCAATGTCTGGACCATCCAATCTATTCAAATTCGTTTTGATTTAGATTGGTTTCAACCCAAACCTGGTCAATTGAGATCTATATTCTTATCTTATATCAATGGACCAGATATTGGCTTAATCCAACCGAATCCAATATAAATTTATTATGGATGGACCAGGTCCAATCCAATCTAATAAATATTTTGGACTGGATTGGTCCAATTCAATATGTCTTGTTGGTCTGTCCAGTCTGTCCAAAATGATTTTGGACTGAATGCGGGGTCCAATCCAAAACCGGTCCTTTGACATCCTTATCTGTAAGTAGCTATATACTTGTCCTTTGCAAGTAATGACTTAGGAACATTTTGGCATCTATATCTCTGTTGAATTATAGGAATAATTTCTTGTTATGGTGGTAATAACATCATCCCTTGGATTGGAGTTGCATAGTGAAATTGTCTCTCCTTTACTTTCCTATCTATTACTTATTCCGTCTTTCCTATTATTTTATCTTCTCTCTTTCATTTTCACTCATTTGTCTTTACTGCTATAATCCATTTATCGGGTTGTGTTGCAGAGATTGCTTTAAACATGTCTTCACATCATAGTAGATGGATTGCCAATTTTTGGTAGCACTTTGATCAGAAACATTTTTCTCCTTTACCTTTCCTCTTGCTACATTTTGAAGGACATAATTGTATATTGTTCCTTTATTGTTGGTTTTGTTATCTATTTTCCATTAATGATGAAATAATATTATTCCTGACAGATTTGCTTTTGGGCTTCTTGAATTTATCTTAATCATGCTACACATCTTTTATCTAATTGGAATTTTCTTTTTCTGTTTCTTTTCCTTTCCTTTTTTTCTGTTTCAGAAATATAGATGTAGTTTTTTGCTGTACAGTATTGTGTTTTTCTTACCCTTCCAATGTCTGTGATGTGAGGATTTCCTGCTATCCTTATGAAACCATCTTTAATAAGATCTCTTTCTTATATGTGTGTGTATCAATATGTGCTACTAAACAAGTTCCTAGTTTGGACTGTAGTTATTTTATTGGTCTTTATGCTACAGTATAGCATGATCATTATTCTCTTGGAATTTTATGTGCAGCCTTCCGGGTACTTGAGAAAGAAGTGGTGGCCATAATTGGTCCACAATCCTCTGGAGTAGCCCATTTGATCTCTATGATTGCTAATGGAGTCCAAGTGCCTCTTGTATCATTTGTTGCCACAGATCCAACTCTCTCTGCCCTTCAATTCCCTTTCTTTGTGCGAACCACACAGAGTGATTCTTACCAGATGGCTGCCATGGCTGATTTGATTGATTATTATGGATGGCGAGAGGTCATTGCCATTTTTGTAGATGATGATTATGGAAGGAATGGCATATCTACTTTAGATGATGAACTTGCAAAGAAAATGACAAAGATTTATAAACTGGCTTTGCCAACAGGAGCTAGTGTTAGTCGCATTACTGAGTTGCTCAGTAATTCCAAATTTATTGGGCCTCGTGTTTATGTTGTTCATGTTAATCCTGACTCAGGTCTCACAGTCCTCTCTTTAGCTCAAGAACTTGAAATGATGACCAGCGGCTATGTGTGGCTTGCAACAGATTGGCTTTCTACTACTTTGGATTCATTACCACTTATAAACCAAACATCACTTCGTAACTTTCAAGGAGTTGTTGGACTTCGACAACATACTCCACCATCCTTGCAGAAGAAGGCTTTTGTCTCTCGGTGGAGAGATCTGCACCAGAAAGGTCTAGTAAGTTATGGATTGAATACATATGGACTTTATGCATATGATACAGTCTGGGCTGTTGCCCAATCTATTGATGGATATTTAAATGAATATCAGAATATCACATTCTCATTTAATAAAAACTTACATGGCAATAAAGCAACAAAACTGCAGTTGGAGAATATCAAAACCTTCGATGGTGGGACTCTTCTGCTTAGGAAGTTACTACAGATGAACTTCAGTGGTTTAACTGGTTCAGTTCGATTTGATTCGGATAGGAATCTCATTGGTGGTGGTTATGACATAATTAATATTGCTCAGATAGCAATTCATACAATTGGTTACTGGTCTAACTATTCTGGTCTTTCAGTTGTGACACCAGAGACATTGAACAGGAAACCACATAGCAGTTCGCATTTGGATCAGAAACTTAATAGTGTCACTTGGCCTGGCAAAAAGGCTGAAAAACCACGTGGGTGGGTTATTGCAGACATTGAAAGGCCGCTGAGAATTGGAGTGCCATACAGAGCTAGTTTTGTTGAATTTGCAACAGAAAAACATGGTACCAAGGATTTTGAAGGATTCTGTATTGATGTGTTTTTTGCAGCAAGGAAGTTAGTAGCCTATGATATTCCTTTCATGTTCATGCCCTTCGGGGATGGCCAGTCCAATCCCAATTATGATGAGCTTGTCAGAATGGTTGCAACAGGTGTAAGTATGCAGTGATTGCTTATTTCAGTAATTCTCAATAAAAGAAAATTAGTTTAAGATCAATAAAAAAAATAAAATTAGTCTAAGGCCAATTCATGGTTTAGAGGGTCAGGATGGTCTACCAATATATGGTAGCAGATCTCTGTTGCCTATCAACGGTAGTTTCCAAACCCTTTTGCATGTCTCACACTATTGCTGTGTTAATCTCTCCATATTGTTATCCTTAGTCATTGTCAGTAATTTTACTTGTTTGTCATTTGGCATAGGTGCTTGATGCGGCTGTTGGGGACATTGCTATTGTCACTAACCGGACAAAGATTGCTGACTTTACTCAGCCTTATGCAGCTACAGGTCTTGTCATAGTAGCTCCCATAAACAATAGGAAGTCAAGTGCTTGGGTGTTCCTTAAGCCATTTACAGTGGAAATGTGGTGTGTAACTGCAACGTTTTTTGTCTTGATTGGGGTGGTTATTTGGATTCTAGAGCACCGTATCAATGATGATTTCCGGGGCCCACCTAGACGACAACTGATAACTGTGTTCCTGTAAGCCTTCCAATTTCAAAATGGAGTTTCCCAGTATTTCCTTATCTTTGGGTTGGGTGTATGGAGTCAGTATGTTATTGAGTTGTTGAATTCCATCTCCATTTTCTTGACTTTCCTGGATATCCTAGTATCTAACCTCAATTTGCACTATTTTTTTTATTGCAGCTTTAGCTTCTCAACACTTTTTAAGACAAATCGTAAGGAAGACCTTGATATTTATATCTGATCATTATTTATTCCTGTATTAACATATTGATTTTGAGCCTGATGTTATTTGTTCTTTCTTGCATTGATTATTTGCAGAAGAAGATACAATTAGTGCACTTGGACGTATGGTGATGGTGGTATGGCTTTTCCTGCTGATGGTGATTACATCAAGTTACACAGCCAGTTTGACTTCAATTCTTACAATCCAGCAGCTCTCATCGCCCATTACAGGACTAGATAGTTTGATCACAAGCAGGTGGCCCATTGGGTATCAAGTAGGGTCATTTGCTCCAAGTTATCTGACAGACAATTTTAACATACCTCAGTCAAGACTGGTTTCTCTTGGCAGCCCAGAAGAGTATGAAGAAGCACTGCGGCTTGGGCCTGGAAATGGAGGTGTAGCAGCGATTATAGATGAGCTTCCATATGTTGAGCTTTTTTTATCAAAACAAACGGACTTTGGGATCGTTGGACAGATGTTTACCAAGAATGGATGGGGTTTTGTAAGTGAATACATTTGCATGCAAATGGTTATAGCATTCTTTTTATTTTCCCCTGATATCTCTTTTCTATCTTTAATCAGAAATAGATAACCCGTGTAATGGTTTGGAGTTTATCTGACAGAGATGGGTTGAATCCAGCTTAACATGCATGTGCACATTCATGGATGTGCATCCATTCTATGTAGAGCATGTTAGATGACAGATAGAGTTATGAAAATAATAGGCTGAATTAAATGCTTAAATCTTCTTTATAGATTCAAAGGTGGTCTTTTTTTTTTTTTACCTTACTAGCATAATTTCCTCATTTTATTCTCAGGTACTAGGAGTTCTAACATCCAGTATCATGTTCTTATTGGGTCATAGAGCACACACTGATATAATGATAGTGGTGACATTTCATAAATCCACATGCCTAGCCGGTTATTTTGGTCATGGTCATCTAACCATTATTGAGCCATACCCATGCCTCCGATCTAAATAAGATCTGCTTGTAACCCAATGATAACATAATTGTTAATGTAGGTAGTTACACTGTGACCCTTTATGCATAATATTAATTAATACTAATAAATTACTCTTCAAATTCTCTTATGGTTCTCTGTTTCTCTACATCATTTCAGGCTTTCCAGAGAGATTCTCCTCTTGCTGTTGACATGTCTACTGCGATCCTCGAACTTTCTGAGAATGGTGAACTCCAGAAGATCCACGACAAGTGGTTTTGTAAGATGGGTTGCGGTATAGAAAGAAGACCCCAGTCTGACACCAACCAACTCCATCTTTCCAGCTTCTGGGCTCTCTATCTTTTATCCGGGGTTGTCACCCTCGGTGCCCTTCTTGTGTTTCTAGTCAGGATGGTTCGCCAATTTGTCAGATACAAACGAAAACAGAGGGACCTTTCCTCTGTATCATCTGAGTCTGCAAATACTCATTGTTCTCAGGTCATTTATAATTTCTTTGATTTTATTGATGAGAAGGAAGAAGCTATAAAGAAAATGCTTAAGCAGCGTGACAATCCTGCACCCCAGGAAAGCTGATTAATAGTGCATGTCTTCAGAGGATGTAATGAGATTATCCTCTATTGGTAGCATATTACATATTGACCATCATTATCATCATCATCTAAGCCTTGTCCTAATTATATGTTGACCAACTTTGTAAATAACCATATATGCTATGAAGCTATTATTCGAATTATGAAAATTTTTATATGTTTTGATGACTTGTACTCGGTGTAAGATTTTGCTCTATACAGATGTCATGTGGGGCATGCAAATAATAAGAATTAGGAGTTTGGAAAGGTATATTGTTCAGGCTCGTTACATATTTAAATCCAGGTATAAATGATTGTAAATATTCATTTGGCTAATACATAATGTTGTACGTGGGCCTTTTTTTCTTTACTGGTCAACATCCATGTTTCTTCATCTTTTTCTTTTCTTTTTTCTTTTTTCTTCTCCCCCCTCTTACTTTTTCTGAAGGCGGATAAAGAGGGTAGAATAACGAGCTTGGTTATTGTTATCCAAACATGTTCAACGAGTTTTCAATTAAATTTTCAGGGCTCAACTTATGGACACAGCGACTTTTATTGTAATGCTGCAAACAATGGAAAAGACAGGTTATTTAGAGTCAGTAGTCAAGGGAATAAAAGTTCTCTGAACATGCTTCAATCTGCCATATGATAGCTTTCTAGTGAGAGATTCAATCTACCATATGGGCTATATTCCTCAAGTAATAGCTCGTTTCATTTCAGTGAATTGATCAGAGTTGGCAGATGAAATTTTGATAATTTGTTAAGCCATTAAAGTTTTCCTGGTGACGACTATGGTGCTAGCTGTTTCAGCCAGGCTCTGCTTCCAACTCTACTCAATTAAGTTTTGCCCCAACCATATGGGATCAGGTACACAAATCCTGTTTCACCATTCCATTTTTAGTGCCATATAAAATAAAAGCCATTACCCAATGTTAGGTCCCGGTTATTTGGGTATTGGGCAGGGATAGATTGAGTTGAGCCAAATAGAATATTTAGCTATTCGAGCTTGGTTCACCAAAATAATGTTAGGCTTGAGCTTGATTTGAGCTAGTGACTTGAGCTCAAATTCAGCTTGGCTCAAAAGCTCTCAAGTTCGAGTTTGGCTCGGCTTGAGCTCGCCAAGCTTCCTATAAAAAATAAAAATTAAACATATAATTTTTTTATTTTGCATACAAAAAATTAAGAATTATAAAAATTATTTATTATATACATGTATGTATGTATACATATAATCCATAATTATTTTTTTAAATAATTATGGATTATTAGTTAAACAATCCCCGTCACCTTGATTCTCCTTGCTTCATTACTCCAACCCTGCATTCTCCTTGACTCTCTCTGCTCTCCCCCTTTTCCCCACTCCCAATTTGCTATCTGAGCACCCTATCTCTCCATTCCTCTCCCTTCTCATTGGGTTCTTTCTCTCTCCCCACAAATCACGTCTCTCACTTTCTATAACAACCTAACTTCTCTCCTTAATTAGTTCAATATGTGGTTTATCATCTTCTTCACTTCTATCTCTAATTCCCCTCTATTCTCTCTAGCAATAAAGTGAATTTGATGTTTCCTATATATTCATGGCATCTTCCATTATTGTTAAATAATCTTTCTTAAGACTCAGTTTGGAAGCAATACAAATGCAAATATGTATAGCGTAAATACATACAAAATAATACAAAATATAAGGTTTTGCACTCTACATATTTGCATTTGTACTCCTTTCAAACCCAGCCTAAATAATAATCTATTGTTAAATAATCCATTAGTTATGAAAATTATTAAAATTTATTGGAAAATATTCTACCAAAAATCATGAAATAATTATTTCAGAAATAATCCATTATTTAACAAATATTAAATAATTTAATAATCTACTAGAAATTAATAAACAATCCACTATTTAATAATTTTTGTTTATTAATAAATGTTCAAAATTTCAATGTATAGTGTAATTAATATTAATCATTGTAATTAGCGTAATTTACTAATTTCTATAAAATCAATAATTATTGTTAACAATTATCAAATAATTTAAGGAAACTCTTTACTAATAATCCGTAATTATTTTTTAAATAAGTAATTAAAGATTAATAAATTAATCTATGAAAATAATATCCTCCAAAACTATCTAAATAATAATCCATTATTATTATTCAACTAAATAATTATTAAAAAACTTAGGAAAATTAATTAAGAAATTAATCTATTAGAAATTGTTTCTTAATTATTTAAATAACAATCCATTATTATTATTATTATTTCAATAAATAATTATTAAATAATTTAGAAAAATTATTAAATCTTTCCACACCGATCTAGACCACTTGGTTGACTTCAATCATACCTAGTTTTACATTAATTAACAATAAATAGTTTACTTTTAATTGAAAATAATGTAACTTACTATAATTATATTTACTTTGGTTAATAATAAATAATTTACATTAATTTATTGTTACCAAAAATCATTAATTTACTATACATTACTACTAATCAATAGCAATTTCAATAAGTCTTTGGAAATTATCACAAAATATTGTAATTTATTGTTATTTAATTTCCTATTAGTTAATTAGTTATAGAAAATTATTAGAATTGTAGGGATGGCAATTTTTCCTATAAAACTGGGCCCTACACTGCCCTGCCCCAAACAGGCAAGTTTTCACAAATCTTAAACGGGGACAAGGCAAAGACGGGGTGGGGACAGGGAAAATATTTTTGCCCCAAATTAGGTATGGGATTCACATATAATTCCCCGAACCTAGTGGTAATTAAATTAGTAAAATATCTGTAGATTTAATATTGATTTTTAAAATATCTCTATGACTCTAAGTTTTTCTCATATTCCTTATAATGCCAAGATCCCGTAATTTCATTTATAAAATACCCCCAAATTGTTATAATCAAATGCCTAAAGTACCCCCAGATTCCCATAATCCTATTTGTAAAATATCCATAAATTAGACTTTTTTAGGTGGTTGCCTCAGGGTAGGGAAAATTTTGGGATTCCCCATCCCCAACGGGGAATGGGTGCCTCTCACCGAACCCACCCCGCCACTGGGGTCGGGGCGGGGGTGGAGTAGAGTGTCTTGACTTACGGGGGCGAGGGACAAGGAGGGGTACCGCATCCCCGTGCATCGCACGTGCCCCCACTAGTATATATATTAGGCTTGCGAGCCTCACAAGTTTAGCTTTACTAGGCTCGAACTCGGTTTAAACCAAGCCAAATCGAGATTTTCACGAGCCAAGTTTGAATAGCTCATAAAAAGCTCGATTCATTTCCACCCCTCTAGGGATGAGTGGACTGGATAAGACCTAACCTTTGGCATATTTCTCATAAATTTGTTGCTCAAATTTATTGTTATATTATGGCACTTCAAATCATTTCTTACTACTTCAACCCTAGCTTTATTGGCCTACCTCTAGCTCTTCTAAACAATTAAACTCCTCATCATTTCTTCTCATTGATGCTATGATGTTTTTTTTTTTTTTTTTTTTTGAAAAATTCCCAACCCTGTACAATGGGCCTAGTACCATTTTTGTCCCAAAACTTAAAAACACGGAAATTCAATACTCAAAATTTCAAAACGTGCCAATTTAGCACCTTCCGTTAATCAACCATTAACCATCCTTTATCAACCATCCAAATGTTGACAAAAAATGAATAGTCTCAAATTCTTGCCTCTTCTATTAAGTTGGGGTCACCAGAATGCCCATTAAGACGTGACCCCAACTTTCTTGAATAGAAGAGGAAAGGATTTGGGATTGTTCAAATTTTGTCAACGTTTGGATGGTTAATAAAGAAAATTAGATGACATTCAAAGGGTATTTGCATCTCTTCAAATGCCACTTAATGGCTGGTTAACGACTAATTAATGACAGGTACTAAATCTGCATGTTTTGAAAGTTCAAGTACTGATTGTTGTGTTTTAAAGTTCAAGGACCAAAGTGGCACTAAGCCCAAAATATATGGTACTAATCGGAAATTTTTCTTTTTCTTTTACATGTTGGACCAAATCATTTTATCACTTATTGGAATAAATAATTATATTTATTTTTTTATCCCATCTTTTCTAATTTTCCACTCATCAATTTCAAATTGAAGCTCAGCTTTTAATGCCTAAAAAATTACCACCAAAAGAATACTAGAAAATGAACCAAAAAACCATCAAAGGTCCTATCATCGGAAAAAGAAAATCATTGATTGAGTCGCAGGATTTTATCGCTATGTTGCTGTAAAATAGTGACATTGGAGGACCTCGATCCAACAACAAGCAAGTTAGGTAGCCTCAGCACACTCAGTTGATGCAGTCACATGGGTTTGATCCCATTCGGAGCAGAGGGATGCCAAGTGACCATCTCATCTCCTGATTCATTGGCAAGCATTACAATCAAAATATATGGGTGTTATATCTCTTAAAGCACTGTTCTTTTTGTCCAATGATCTACAGTGGTTGGTCCGTGAATTGGTTGGGTTTGGTCTGGATTAGGGTTTTTAATTTGTACTATTATTAAAAGTATGAATGATGGTGTGAATATTTTTTTTTTAAATTAGAATACCCTATTTTTTGAATTTGATCTCTCTTTAATTGTAAGGACAAAAATGTAATTTGAACAATCACTTTTTCCTCATTCAAATCCATATTTAAGGTATTAATTTTCATTGACATTTATTGAATCTTTTTCTTGACTAGAATACCCTTGTTTTTGAATTTGGTCCCTCTCTAATTATGAGGATGCAAATGTAATTTGAATTACTACATTCTCTCTCATTAAGTATTATATTTAGAGTATTAACTCTCATTCTTTTATTGAATCTTACATTAATTAGCCATATTAAAGAAAAATAATTGTGACAAAGAATAATTGATATTATTGATAATATAAATAAAAAAAAATTTAAAAACAACGAAAAAATGAAGTTTTTTCTATTTGGTAGCAAGTCAACAATTCAGCCTTTTGAGTCAAATGTACCAATCATTGATGTCATAATAATAATAATAATACACAAAATTATAAAAAATATAAAAAACATTTAGGCACATCTCTAATATCGTATATTCATCATATTAAACAAAAATGTGTGACAAATAAGAATAATTTTTATAAACATAGAAATATAAAAAATTATAGAAAACTTTAGAAACATGATTTACTATTATCGTCATCATAAAAAATTGTTATGTGCAAAGCACGTACACACTTATAGTAATTAATAAATAAATGTATATGATCCTTTTTAAATTGGACTCTATAGGGCCTGTAATAAAG